AGGCAAGCGTACTATTCACAGTTTTAAGTGCGGTTAGTAAAAATAAATGGTATAGGCAGGCTAGCGTTCTTGTCATGTAAACATGTCGACCAGAAATTACTCCAACCTCCAGCAGGATGTAAAATTAGATTTATTTTTACTTGGAAGTGATCCCGGCCGTGACAGCCGACTCCCGTCGAGGCTCCCTGTCAACAGCGCCTATACAAAGTGTTAACACCGATTCATAACCTGAATTAGTGCATCTAAACATTAGTCTGAGTCTACTTTTGTTGTTAGGCTTTCTGCACAGACCATAATAACCTGCTATAACCCCAGTGGACCAACCAAATCAAGGGATGGGGTCAGTGCTCCTATACTGCCTTCAGAGGCTAAGAACAAAGTTACACTGTGGATTTTTAATACTCTGGGTTGAATCAAAGGACCCAGCCCTCCCCGAAGTGTTGTTGGGCCAAACATTGATGAATTTGCAGTGTGTCTACAAGGTAGAGCCCCGTATTATTTTATTTCATGGTCTCTACTGTACAATTCAACAAATATATCACAAAACTATCTCCAAGGGACCCCAAATAATTTTGTATTTAAGGATTCCAACCAATTCACAGTGATTTAACGGGGTTTTCAAGTTAAATACTAATATGCAGCGAGGTTTCAGTCTTAATACTTAGACTAAGCGAGGTTTTAAATTTCATACTCCAATTGAGCGATATTAAATTATGAATACCAGATAAGAGCGATATCCTAAAATTTATACCAACACAGAGAAAGGTTTAAGACTTATCGTTTAAAACAGGCAATGAAAGATTGTCTCGCTTCTTTTAAGAAACAAACCTCGCTCTAGGATTTTCAGTGTAGATTGCACAAGTTGTGCATATAACCGAAAACCGCCTATTTACACCACTTGTGCGAATATCCTCATTGCTCAAAAAGTCCTTTCCAGTGGTATAGAAGAGTGACTCATCGGCTCTGAGTCACTGTTCGATACTATTTACCCCCTTTACACATACTTCGTCGACATAGTAAGACTGCCTCTGACTTATGTTATAGACTAAAAGACTAGTAAAAGCGCCATCTATGAAGACCGTATTTCGCCCACACCTACCGGTATCGAAATTTGTTGTTAACTTTATTGTAGGGGTAACTCTACCGGAATCCGCACTGAAACATGGTGGTATAATTTGCGTAAGATTTAGGCGGTTTTTCATTTCGTTGGCTGGACTTAATCTCCACATCTAAACGTTGTTACTCCGAATAGGGAAATTATTCCAGATTAAAGCAGGCATTAGCAAAAGACAGCTAAATATGAAAGAAAATTAGAACACATTCGACAGACCTATTGCTAAAATAGGCTTTTTCAGACCTGGGCGTGAAGTAAAATGGAAGAACAAAACGGGCACTGCGCACGCGCAGACGCCCCCCACATCATCCCCTGCTTCTCTTACTCTGCATCTGCGAATAAGCAGTGTGCGTTTTGTTCTTCCATTTTACTTCTTCGCGTGCAGCTCTGAAACACCCTACTGTATAGAACTGTACCCCGCTCTGCCCTATACGGGTAGAGATTAACGACCACGTAGGATCTCAATTTCTAGGTTATTAATGAGCTAACTTATTCCCTTCTAATGGATTCTGTAGATGGACGACGGTACCGGCCCTCTGGCGTCACTTCTCAGGCAATTGATTCTCGCTCTGGGGGACCCGCTAGATCCCAAGGATGGTCGGCCTCGCATCAGTATTCTTTTGCGAGTGTTGGGGTTCTGTCGAGAGTCCAAGGTAAGGTTGATTGACTATTAATCGGACATGACATATCTTTGTTAGGCACTAAGAGGAGGCGATACTTAAAATGGGATTTCTATGAAGGCATCATATTACAACTTTTTTGTTGCCCTATTGATACGTTACGACCCAAAACTATTTTACGGGTCTAGGACAACTCGTCCCGGCCGACTCGAACCCGATCCAATACGTCTCGGGGTTATCCCTAAAGACCCTATCCTAAGTCGCCCCCATTTTTGTATTTAAATTGGCACAGTTCATTTTTATTTTGTTCTATTGAAAAGACTAAGGTACTCAGAAGGCAAGACTTACACGCCACATCGATTGCGGGCCGCCTCTCGGTCCTCCCGGCTCCGGTAATTCCGGGTAATCCGCTGGCCAGGCAGATTTTCCTGTAAAAGGAAAAACCCGATGACTCCGGCCGCACCCAAAGAGCCTCAGAGGCCTCTTAGGTGTACCCAACCCAAGCAAACCTCCTAAAACTTATACTATAAGGTCCGTGTATCCGGTATTATTTGAGTCGGCGACCCCTCGGGTAGGGATGGTAGGGGCACCAGCGCTGGACCAATCAGAGAGCGGGGCTTCATTTTTCTAGTGTTTCCCTCATGCGCGCTTCTCGCGTCTTCAAATTACTTCACGTTTATGGAAAATAAGAGGAAAGTCGACCAGGACCGAGGGGTCCGCAAGTACGGTCTGCCGGTGTACACATGTGGTGGGCTTCCTGGTTTTCCTAGGTTTTCCTAAGGTTCTCCCGGTCTTCCCAACTTTTTCTCGGTTTGCCCAATATCTTGGTTTTCTGAAATTTTCGAAAGGCTTCCTCCAGTTTCCTGCGGTTTTCTCGCATTTTCATCGACCTTCCCTTACATTTTCTGGTCTTCCTTGCAATTTCTAGGTCTTTCCCAAAGTTTTCCCGGTCTTCGCTTATATTTTTCGGTTTTCTGCCACATTTGCGGCCTACGATTTTATTGGTCTTCTTCGGTTTTCTTTAGTCTTCCTGGTGGTCTTCCCGGTCTTCCCAGTTTTCCGGGCGGCCAGTGTACGCACTCGAACCTAGTTGCGGACCCCTCGACCAGGACAGTTTTGTCCTGTGTTTAAGGACGAACGAACACGAACAGTTCGCTGTTCGTTCGAGTTTGTTCGAGTTCGTTCGACTGCGAGCATGTTCGCTCATCTCTATCGCCATTATGACCCTAAATTTCCGTTTGCCTCCCAGTGTGCAACACGGTACAGTGGCCTCAGAAAAATAGCGCTTTCCATGCGGACTGACTGCCTGCTCCGGCGGCTCGCCCGACTTGCCTGCCGGAGGAGTGGGGAGAGCGGAGCACGGCAGCAGCGAACGCACAGTACCTGTCGTGGCGACAGTTATCGAGAGTCCACTGTATGTATGCTGTGCAGTCATAAGTCAATTTTCAGCCCGCTCTTTTTATTTTTAGAAGCTATATAAACGCGCTTATGCCATCGCCCCTGTGTCTATCTGTCTGTCCGTTTTCCAAGAAGGACGTGAGCTAGAGGTTTGAAATTTTCGGGGTATCATTGTTGTCACTTCTAGACAACTAAACGGTTGGTGCAAATCCTGGCAACCACCCCTGAGTGGGTATGAGGGGGTAACGAAGAAATACATGCTGGTCGAAAAAGTGGGATTTTTTTTTAATTGTCTCCGAATGGGTAACTTCTGAAAGTAGAGTCCTTTGAGGACTAAAACTTCGTCCACCGGCAGGCCAAGCTAGGCCCACACCCTGCCGAACCGAGTTGCCGGTGGAGCGAAGCGGAGCTGGCAACTTGGTTTGGCGGAAGAGCGGGCCTAGCTTGTTTTACTTTCTTTTTAATCATTTTCCTCATTCATGACTAAATCATTTTTCATCTTTACTTAGTGTACACGAAAATCAGTAGAGGACCCCTTGCTCCAGCGCTCAGCCGACTATCTGTGTGACCCAATTACGGTGGTGTGAAACTAGGTAGCGAGGGCGAGCATGATTCTGTTCTTCGCTGGAAACGTGGTGGACGTACTGGTGTCGGAGGGGGACACGCGCCGCATGCCCTTGAGCATGATGCTCGGGATATACTCATCCATGGCCTGCTACACGGTGCTGGTGCGTCACAAGGAGGACATAACCACCGCCCTGCGCCAGGCGCACCGGGTCGCCGAAAGGCTGCACAGGGACGGCTCGCCGAGGTCGCGGGTGAGAGATTAGCAAATCATTCAATCAGGGTATACAAAAGTAGTCCTACTTCTAAACGTGGCATGACGGGAAGGGGTTTTCACTCCCAACACTCAGAAAAACCTACAAAAAATGTCGACAGTGCGCCCTGACAATTTGTCATCAGGTCAGTGCACAGTGGAATTCCCACAAAGCATTGAGCACAATAGGCCCCGCCTAGAGCTACCCAAAACGGTAACTACTACTACTCCTACAAAGCATTTGCTTTGCAGAACTGCAAAGTATTTTGATCCTTTGTAACTACGAAGCATTTACTTTGCAATTGCAAAGTGATACTTTGCAATTGCGAAGCAATGAAACACGCTGCAAAGCATCGCTTTGCAATTGCAAAGCATCACTTTGGAATAGACGATTCCCGCTGGTCCCATTTCAAGAAGAATTAAGGAAATCGTCACCGGAAACAGTACGATACCCCCTATGTAAAACCGCCCACCGCCTCGGCGGCTGCAGACAAACGCTCAGCGCACTACCCGCCAGCGGAGAACCGCTTACCTCGCTTGGCGCTCCGGATAACCGCTTAAGTCGCTTTTTCACCGAAAACGTAATATTGGTTTAATTCGAAAGAGAATTTCCTCCTCTCGGAGAAAAAGCGACTTAAGCGGTTATCCGGAGCGCCAAGCGAGGTAAGCGGTTGTCCGCAGGCAGGGAGTAAGCTAAACGTTTTCTCAGAGCCACAGAGGCGGTGAGCGGTTTTACATAGGGGGTATCGAGTTCTGAAATTACGGTAAAAACTAGGGAAAATGAACCTTTATAGTTACATGGACTTCCTCGAAGGTCATCTAAGTGAAACTGTACAGTAAAATAAGAAAATTAAGCGGACTTTTCATACTGGTTCCGGTCCTGCAAAGTAAACGCGTCGTAGTTGCAAAGGATCTAAATACTTTGCAGGAATCTGACAGTGCGACCAATTTTGGCTCACGGTCCACTCTGCACAGGATGTACCGTAACTTTGCAAACCATATTTTAGGTCAATGCACCACTCGACTTAGACACTGAAGTACGGTCCATGTCTTTACGGTCTGGCCCGTACATAAAATATACAGGACGGACCGTAGGCAAACTGTACTTTCTGAATTTTCGTGTACAGTATAGTACATATGTAACGTGTATAACGCCGGCGTTAAACAACCTTTTTCAACCAAACTTTTAACATTTTAAAGCACATTTCCCACTATTAGGTATTACAGTACTCGCGATTGGCTAAGCGGTTAGCGTAGCCTATTACTCCAGTGATCAAAATGTTTTGCGTCTGTCTATTTCGTGAAATGTCGCTAAGCCTATTACGCAATAGCGGTCTGGCGTACATATACCTAGTACCTAGTGTGTACTACAGTGTATTATGCAAGTGAAAACCCCCTCGGCATGACATTATGTCTGGTAGTTTGAGTGCAGTTGCTTTACAGATAACAGAGTGTTATATTATTTGTGCGCCTTTCTATGCACCTCTAGGAAGTTCTGCAACTTATGGCCAGCCGATGTCGCTTCGTGGCCAAGAGATTCTACCCTACCTACGCCGCATTACTCGCCTTGGGCACGGTGTCGTCCTTTGATCATCAAACTGGTGTGAATCAATCACTAAAGGGACAAAAGAAGGTGCAGGTTGCAAGGGAACATACAAGCTTAAAGTAAAGGGACAATTTTGTTCCTTATAAGGGCACGTTTTCGTTCGATTTGCCTGCGCCTTCTAATTGCCCCCCCTACCCTGTTTCAAGGGCTTTAGAATGCGCAGGCGAATCGGAGGCGGGGAGCTCTCCGATCGCCCTCCAGACCAGCTTTGTGTCATTCGTTTGATGTGGACAAGCAGGTTAGGTCCGCCTCACCACCAAACGAAGTTGCCAGCCACACTTCGTTCCAACGACAACACTTTGAGGCATTATACGCGCCTGCTTGGCCTGCTGGCGGCGTTTGGTTGGGCCACACCACACACTAAATGGAGAAGGACAATTTTGCACGCAGACAGGATGCGTTCTTAGGCACATCTCAAGTTAGAGGTATGATCGAACATGTTCGCATTCGATCCGACTCGAACAAAACATTGAGCTGCTCGTGATCGCTCGAATACCAACATCAGGTGTTCGTATTCGTGATGTTTGAATAGACCTTTTATCCAAACGATGTGGCAACGCTGCACGCTAATAGTTTCCAGCGACAAACTCTTAATTGTGATCAAAATTCAAAATTCTGGCCACGGTGTTTGATTTTTATGACTACTCCACATCAAACACAGTGGCCAAAATTTCAAATATTGACCACAGTCAAGTCAAGAGGTTGTCGCTGGACAAAAATAGCGATTTTTGGGCGACTGTATGAATATCCGCTTTGGATAAAACGTCTATTCTACTCAAACAGAAGTTCATAGGCGAACAGAATTAAAGTATGTTTCAGAAAGGCGCATCATACACTGTTAACAATTCTGTACCCAAAATCAGAATTTATACGGAACCTCCTGCATTTTACAACTACGGTTCAAACCCATAACAGAACGAACTTGTATTTAAGGGGCACAGACATGACCGTATTTTGAAAAAAAACTTGTCCTCCCGTATATATTTTCATGTTAAATTTAAATGACGACAATTGTTTTCTTCGGATAAGACAATTTTTCAGTTTAGTCGTAAATAGGCCTTAGGCCCCAAAAGTCACAAATTTTGCTCCCCAGAGTTTTTGGCTGAGCAATTAGCGAATCCTATAGGGTATTCCGCTGCAAGCCAACCGGAACCTAAAGAAGGAAAGCATGACTGCACGATCTGTTTCTCTCTGGGCGCTCATTGGCTGACCGCCACAGCCACGCCATCTTTGGCCAATCGGCGTTCAGCAGGAAACAGATCGGGTAGTCATACTTTTCTTCTTTAGATTCCGATTGTGTTGTAGCGGAATACCCTATTTCTCCGTCTGGTCGGAAAAAAACTTTTTCTGTCTGTCCGTGTGTGTGTGTCTATCCGCACGAGGGACATTTTCAGGGTTGTTTCGTACCATAGAAGACAGATCGAGTTCAAAAATCAGCATTCCAACTCAAAAATTGAATTTTAAATAAAATCAAAAACGACAGGCCCCAAACAAAGATTTTTATCTTAAATATTATTGGCTGAGCTTGCGAAGCCTTTGCTGTGATGTGGGGTGC